AGCACTGCTCGTTCATTTTTTTCCATTCGTTTCTCCATTGTAAAGGGGTGAGGATGAGCGTTGCTAGTGGTAGTGTTGATTATGGTAGTAGTATTTGTAACAGAAGGATGGTTGGACAAAAAAGAAAAAAAAAAAAGAAGAGGAGGGGTGAGTAGTAGTAAATTTAGTAGAATTATCTCCGATGGCAACCCCGTTGCCGAAGGATCATTAATCCTTGTCCAGAGTTACCCAGAAATTCCATTCTACTAAAGCGAATATCGTGGACGTTAGAGGACTTTTATCAATTTTATCGTGGAAAACTTCTTAGTGGTTTGGTGGTAGTGGTAGTACTTTTGTGATAAAAACAACGTTAACGTGATAAACATTCGCCGAATTTCAAGCTCGCGTAAACATTTTATCGTCTTTCAATAGATGTGGGGTGGGGGGGGTGGGAGGTTAGGGGATAGCTGTTCCACCGAAAAGCTTTGTTCAGAAAAATTAAATTTACGAGGAGCTCTGTAAACAGAAGAATTCGATACTTTCCAAAGTTATCGCTAAAATGATTCGATATCGAGGCAATTTCTTTACTCGTTCATCCTGAAACAAGTAATAATAGAAAAAGAGAATGAAAGAGAGAGAAAGCAAGAGAACGTGTTGTAACAGAAAATACGAAGGATGAGAAAGATAGAAAATCACCCCTAGGGAGGAGGAGGAGTCGTCCCCAACTTCCGTAGCGCATCCGTTCCCATCTCAAGGTCATCTCCGTTCCACCATTTCTCCGTGTCCGGCCTACTTATCGGCTAGCAGTACTACCACCACCACCACCATGACGACGACGACGAATTATTGCGTAATCCACGCGTTACCTCCTGGTACAACTAATTTGTTGCTCAACGAGTTCACCTCCACCACCACCACCACCACCTCCTCCTCCTCCTCTTCCTCTTCTTCCACCTTCTCCTCATCCTCTTTATTAGTCGGCTTGATGCTGATCTCGATCATGTTCCGGAATGAGGATGTCCTCTCTCTCTTTCTCTCTCTCTTCTTCCCTCTTTCCTCTTCGAGCCCTCTTTCGCGAATGAACGACCGATCCTCTTGCTTCCCTTACCCCTAATATAAACTATATCAAATAAAAAAAACCATGTAAACTAATGGCGATGGCATTGAGATGATCCGACAACGTACGTAAAACGACCACTTGTTTCTCTCTCTCTCTTTCTCTTCGCCTCCTGCTTCTCTTTTTAATTCGTCGAGAGTACTACGCAAGCAAGCTCGTGGTTGATAGAATGAAAACAAAAAAAAAAATAGAAAAAAATAAGTGTTAAGCGAGTGGAAATCTGATAGAGATCGTGTGGGACGATTTACAGCACCGTTTTGCGGTTTACCACGCGAGCAACTACATTTTTTTCAACCTATCGATTTACCACCAATGATCTCGCTATTTGATCAATGATATATATATATAAAGGTAACTCAATGAATGACAAAAATAATTATCCTATCGTATGTTATATTCTTAATAAAAAAATTCGTCGATTTAATTTCATTAATACTTTTTTCTTTTCTAAATAAAAATACATCAGTTCTCTATTGTTCTTTCGTTAAATTTTATTTATGACAAAAATTTAATTAAAAAAAAAAAATCGTTAACGTGTTGCGTTACTATATATAAGTATTTTTTCGTACATTATTTTATGAATAAAAATTTCATCGATCCCGTTTAATTAAAAATTTTTGTTAACACAAAAACAAATATTCCTCTGTCTATCGGAGAAAGATAGAGAGAACGAATTAATAAATTTTGTCTTCCCTTTTTTTTTTTTTCTGGTCTATCCCTTCTATCACTAGCAATAGTTATCTCTCTCTCTCTCTGTCTCTGTCTCTCTCAACAGGTTAGACGAAACGACGACGTGCAGTAAGCGCCCGAGCACTTGTTGAATGAAATGCATATCCATCGTACACGAGCTCTTTCTTTGTTGCCTTTTATTCGTATAAAGACGAGGGTATATTGTTTTCCTTCCTACGCCGATGAAATCTCAATCCACCAATGCATTTCTATCTCTCTCTCTTTCTCTCTCTCTTGTATCAATTGTATATATAAGCGTATTTCCTACGTAAACTATAAAGATAGTTCGTTCATAAAATAATAATCCAATGTTTATTTATTCGACGTTGAATCCTTCTCTCGTTTCTTTGACAAATGTTTTTTCTTTTCCCCCCCAAAAAAGAAAGGAAAATTAAGGAAAAAGAAGAAAAAAAACAAACATATATGCAAGAGAGAAAAGGAAAGATATATAATGCGAGTGAAACGAAAAGTTATTTAATACGATATAAAACGAAATATGAATGGAGAGGGAAAGTTTCAATGATAAAACCAAACTTTTCCAAAGTTGATTTCAATTAAAATAAAAGAGAGAAATGATTACTATAATACATAGATGAGAAAATAGGAAAGTACAAATTTAACGTAAATCCTATAATAAAATGTCACAAAGGTACACTACTCTCTTGTTCTCTGTATTTTACGTTTATCCTACATTCGAGCACTTTCTTCATTGTCCTCTTGTACGACGTAATGAACGGTCTCGCTCGTCTAATTGCAAGGAACAAGCTCTTACGGGGATTACGATTTTCCTCTATGCTTTAAGGAACGTTACACCAGTGCTAGTAGCTTGTTTTCCTTAGGACACGTATACGACGTTTACTATAAAATGAGAAAAGTAATAAATAATGAACTAACTTTACATTTCGTTGTTACCCTCTGTTTTACTCGAAACGATTTATTATCTCTTTACTCACATCAGTAACTTTATCTATTTCGACAGTAAAAAATACTAAACGTGATACAAGACGATTTAGAAAATATCTAACATAAGTGAAAAAAACTACATAGAATTTTAATTATAATACTTGTTTCAATATTTCACTCTTGTCAGACGTGATCGATATAATTTAATTAAACGTTAATCTATCATTTAATAAGATAACAAAAGGTATCTTATTCATGACATATGTATTAACATATGTGTGTTAATAAACCGCTTTTAAACATATTGAATCACGTACCTTTACTTATCGACTTATTATACACCAATACTGATGTATATATGTATATATTGGAATGTAATAAGTCTGTATATATACTGTAATAGCTTTTTAAAAATGAAAACAAAAATGAAATTCTATGATGTTAGGAAGAGATCAATCAAATGAAAACGATCATTGTGTAACGTTGATAACGTCGTTACGAGGCGATAGTGCGTTACGAATTCGGTAGCATCGTTGATTACAGATCACGATTCCATTATACTCGAGAATCCTCAGTTTCACGTTATTCATTATATACAAAACGAGCTCTCTTTCTCTCCATCAAGCGAGAAGATAATTGAATAGATAATCGAACTCTCGGTGTTTCATAATTCCCGCCTGTTAAAACGAACTTTCAAATTTCTCAATGGTTGCATTTCAAGTTAGACGCGAATTATTTTCATCGAATTTAACCCTATTTATTTAATTATCATAATATATCGAAAATAAATTAAATTACGCAGGGAGAAAGACATAAATGTATTTCAAATAACCTAACAAAAAAAAATATCAAAAATAATATGAACCATGGAAAAAAGTCTCTTTCAAAAATAAAAAAAACTATGTCAAATCGTCTTTTTTTGCATATCGATTCGAATCAATTTGGAGATAATTGATCGACGATTTTTTCATAGAAAAACATCGAATGTTGTTAATAAAATAACAATTAAATGATTGACAATAAAGATCTGACCTGTGAATTCCAAGACGGGGTTCCTGCGAAGATGCACTACGAGGTGGCAAGGTCTTGGTAGCAGAATTGGTACGAGATTCAAGAACGGTGGCAGGTACCTTGAGAAGATCACAGGATGAAAGATGATGACCGTATTCGCGACAGGACCATGAATATCCGACGATTCGATCTTCTTCTTTTACACCTTGTTGCCTTTTCTTGCTAGCCCCCTCACCTGCACCCCCAGCACCCTCGGACAAGTGTCGTATCAAGGGTCGACGCATTTCGCATACAATGAATTATCTATATATATATATATATATATATATGTATATGTATGTATTTATATATTTACATATATATTTGTATATACATATACATATATATATATATATATTTATGTGTACGATGCGTTTATTTTATCTTCGAACTTTTTCGATTATTATATTATAGTTGTTCCTCTTTTGAACTACGTTCAAGTGCGTTGTGTCGAAGCAAAGAACAAGACGTAATAGCTGCACGAGTTCTCTCGCGAGACTGTGTGTTTACGAGCCTCCCCCTCCAAAATGTAAGCCCACCACTCTTTTGCGACGGTCGCAGTTACGATCACGTACGAGCATTGACGAACACTGCTTTATCGACCGAACGGTACCTCGCTTTCGAGATGGCGCCACTTTCGGCTTACTTCGTCGAACTTCGACTTTGCTCGGTCGGACAGTACCAACCGAGCAATAGGGAGGATACAACAATTAACCCTTTTTTTCTTCTTGACATCCTTCGCGATCGATGGGGTGCTTTTTACGAAGAAAGATGAATGAATGCATTTTCCATTATTGTTGTCGGGTCGAACGCGAAAATAAAGGAATAAACAGTTAAAGTAGATCAAATTTTTCTTTCTTTCCCCCTTTTTTCTTTTTCTGTCTCTCTATCTCTATTCTCCGCGCATGCGCCTAACCTAAATACTGGAAAATTCTCGAGATACTTGTATCTATATGTAAATTCTTCGGTTAACTGCTATTTTTTTTCTTTTTTTTTTACACGCGATAATTAACAAATTACGAAATCTCTGCTTAAAGAAGTTCGTTAATTTTCTTGGATAGAATTCATTCGTCACGTGTATAACTAATGATACGTACGTTTTATGTGTACGTGTATGTTCTTCTTGATGTAGAAAAAAAAAAAAAGAGAGAAGGAAAAAGAAAAAGAAGAATAAAAAGTTGCGAAAGAAAGTTTAAACGCAACGAGTAAAAAGTCATTAAGCGTCATTATATATTCTCCGTCTAATAGATAGACACACACACAGATCGAAACTCGTGGTAGGACGAAGAAAGAGAGAGCGTCCTTTTCGTGTCATTAGATGAACGTTACGTAAGCAAAGGTATTCTCGCGATTCTCCTCTCGATGAGAAGGAGTTAAAGAATGAACGATTAGATCATTATCCGTTATAAATCTTTACCGATTCCGTCGTTCATTGCGTGCTTTCGTCCTGTCAGGTTAACCATTTTGAATTTTCCACTTGGTTGGAAATATGAACAGCATGCGAACGCGCATATTAACGTATAAGCGTATTATACTTAAACTCTTCTCGAATGACTCACTTTCGCTAGCTGAGGTTTCCAACAACTCCTCCACCTCCTACATCGTATTTCTCTTCAATGGTTCTTACTTCTTACCTAATTACACCTTCGCACTCGGTGCACCTTAATATGGTTCTCGTTCAACGCGATTGAACATTTTTTTTTATTTATTTCTTCTCCTTCTTCTTCTTCTTCTTCTACTCTACCGAGCTCCCACGAACTTTTTTTCTCGTATAAATAAAAAGTTCGCATTTTTGTATTCCCCTTCGAAAGAGATTGGCTTAGGAAAGTGTGAGCTCACATGACGCGGTTAAGCAAAATCTTTATTTCTCGAAACTTGCCTCCTCGTGTTCAAATATATTCATGTAACGATTCAACGTTGTAACATTGCTTAAAGATAATAATAATAATAATAATAATAATAATAATATATAATATATAATAATAATAATAATAGATGATAAATATGATTATCAAGATAATAACTACACGATGAAAATAAATATAAACGTAAAGCTTAAAAAATTGAATATTAAATTCATTGAAATTTTAGATACCTGAAGCATGCGCGCGTATTACGTTATGAAATGAAGAGAGAGAGAGAGATTAGTATAATCTCTCGTCTTTCGTAAATAGATTAAATGGAATGTACAATATAAAGAATGGGGACGATATCCGAAAAAAAAAAATCGTATATCTGGGTTAGGCAGAGATCCGTAAACGATTGAGGTAACAAGAACAAAGATGAAGGATTGCGATTGAAAGGAAATAAACAGGAAAGAATAAAAAAGAAAGGGTCGTCGATTTGGAGGCTGGCTAATCAACGCTAATCAACGCTCTGCGATCGATCAATCAACGAACCGAGAATTTCTGACTGGTCTTTTCTATTTATATCCGTTACAACAAGAGTAAACTTGTTACTCCGTACCTAATAGTAACAGTATTTGGTGGTAGTGATATAGTAATAGTATTACTGCTAGTAATAGTAGTAGTAGTAGTAGTAATAGTAATAGTAATAGTAGTAGTAGTAGGCGTGATCGTAACTAGTACGTCGCTCGTGTCTGTTAACACATAATTGCGTAACGCACTATGATCGAGCTACGGTCGTTCCTACGTCGAAGATTCGGCCCTAGAGAGAAGAAGATAAAAAGAAAAGAGAGAGAGAAGAAAAGAAGACGAAAAAAAAAAAAAAGATATTCTAGGTAAAGAAAAAAAAAAAAAAAAGAGAAATTGTTTATAGAAAGGAAAAGGGGTGGTTATATATCGGCCAAAATCACAACGCGATACGTTAAAAATCTTCTTCTTTCTCTCTTTCTTTTACACGCACCCTCTTTCACGATCCTATCTATCACGTTCTTGTTCTCTCTCTCTCTCTCTCACACAATCTCGTTCTTTCTTTTTCTATCTATCTGTCACTCTCGTTACATCTTCGTTAAAACTCTGCTTTTTAAAAATATCTCTAAATACGATCCGTAAAACTTTTCGGATCGTAGCAAATTGTATATCGACTGACGATTGTTGCTGCCGCTGCTGCTGCTATTGTTGTTGTTGTTTTTGCTGCTGCTGCAACGTCACATAAGCCGACGACTCGATTCTAGCAACCGACCTGATGTAACATCGAGGCCAACCGAAAGACACGCATCCAAGCGAACATGCCGCTCGACGGTGAACGACAGATCGTTCTTCTAACGAGCGAACTCGATGAAGAAGATCCATTGTTTTTCGGATTTTCCATAGATGCCATCGAGCCACGTTGTTGATTAGCTTCCTGGCTCGGTGACAATTCAACCGAACCAATTTCACTCTCCGACTTTCTTTCCTTTTGCTGCTGCTGCTGCTGCGGTGAGTACTTCATACCTGAAGCGGAAGAACCGATTTAGCTGCCATTTTGAACGTCCTTACACGGTTATTATTAATTGTCTCTCTCTTTATCTCTCTCTCTCTCTTTCTAGTTCTTTTTATATCCTACATGTGCATATTCGCATTTTTCACCCACCAATTATATATGTATTGACGTAAGTCTATTTGCCGTTATGAACATTTTTCGTATTTAAACAATATCGTACTTTCTAATTATAATCTTGATATTAATTTTTATATATATATATATATATATATATATCTACGATATAAATATAAATAAAATAAATTCAATGGAAGATTTAAAAGATAACGGGTTCTCTCATTGTTTAATCGTTTCCTACTTTCTACTTATCTTTTCACTTTATTTCTTTCTCTCTCTCTCTTTCTTTCTTCCTTTCTTGATAAACTTAATATCTCTATTTAACTTGCATCGTCCTTGCCATTACGGAAATATGAAAAACCACGAACCGGTTTGATCTATCGGCTTAAATGAAATAATAATAGCTATTCCTATCGAACGATACGAGAAAATTTTCCTCGAAAATGGCCTCTCGTATTAAAAATACATTGAATCGTAAAGGGTTAAGGTAATCGATATTACTGTAGGTAATGTCATGTATGAACTTATATAAGTACGTATGTATGTATGTATGCATATATGTAGATGTGAGATGATAAATAAAAATTAAATTAAAATAAAAAAAAAAAAAAAGAAAAAAACGTCCCGAGAGAGAAAACCATCGTTTGACTTTTCTTTTCAGCTAGTCATTCATCGTTAAATAAATAACGACTAAAGCTTCGGGATCATTACTTTCGAATATCATTATTTGCTTAATGGTAATTAACACAGTTTCTTCGCATAGTTTACTTTTTAAAAAAAACGACATCGAACCTAATGTCTCAAGAATCTAATCATCGCGATTTATTCTAATCCTATTATAATCTGGCACACAAACGAGATTTTCCCATGTTTCGTCGCACTACTTTTCCTTTTTTTTTTCTTTTTACCTTCTTCTTCTTTGTCTTCGTCTTATTTTATTTTTACTCTCGCTTCATCAATTTATATATACCTGCGTTAAAACGTTCCAGTCTTACAATTAGAAAAAAGAGAAAACGCGGTTTTTTTTTTGTTTCATTTAAATCAAAAGATTCACGAGTAAAAAACCTCTAATCATCCCGAGCTTTTCTTCCCGTTGGAATTCTCTTACGAAGCTATTGATCTCTTTCAAGGAATATCCTTCCATCCTTCTTTTCTGTCTTTTTTTTTTCTTTTTTTTTCTTCTTTATTTTTTGCTCATTCGAGGTTGGTGCATCGTCACGTTCAACCCTCGACTTTGTTTATCCGCACGTATGCACTTAAATACACACGTACGTATGTACGTACGTACATACATACATACTTGTATTACCGGACGCCCACTTGGTCAAGGTCGTTGCGAATAACACGTTATGAAATGATACGATGATTCTCGCGACAAGTACAAAAAAAAAAATAAACAATAATTATAAAGTTAACTTTAAATATGCATGTGTGTATCGAGTTTCGAAAAGAAGAAAAATGACAAATCAAAATTGGAACAAATGAAAATTTTGAATTCGATGACGAGTACAAAACAATTGAATGATTATTTTCAATTCGAAATATAAAATATTTAAAATATAACAATGAAAAACATTTACACGAAGTGTATCTTTTCGAAAGAATAATATAATTAAAAAAAAAAAAAAACAAACAAAAAGAAAAGGTATCTCATTTTCTTGAAATAATTTCGTAAGTCGTTATTCCCGTTTCCTGGATTCCAGTAGCGTAGGTGTACGTTTTGTGGGCGTTTCGAATCGCGTTGATCGCGTTGCCGAAGCGCACGCGCCTCTTTCGGTCAGCTGATTCCCTAGACCTACTTTTTGTCTGATGATGCAGGCTACGTATGTATATAGATATAGATATATAGTACAATATACAGGGAGAAAGATAGAGAGAGAGAGATAGAGAAGACAAAAAAGAGGGAATAGTAGGGAAAAAAAAGGAAAGAGACTGTTAATACCTACATAGGTGATTTTTGTATGTAACTGTCTATCTACTAAATATCTCTGACTGCGCGTGGACTGGGAATCAGCCTGCCCTAAATTTCGTTCGTTGCTCGAGGCCATTCCTTCTTCACTCGAGAATATCAAATTCGTATATTATAATCAGCCCGTTAAATGGAAATTTTTATTTCTATTTTTATCCTAATACGAATAAATGAAAATAAATTGAAATTTGGCGGGATTTTTATATTTTGTTTTTTCATGAAATACAACAAAATACACAAAATGAACGAGTATGATCAATCGTTTGTTTTCTTTTTCTTTAGATATTTATCAATGAAAAATTATAAGGAAAGGATTAACAACGTACGAGAGATCTAAATCGAAGGTTGGATAATAGAAAAATAGAAAAAAAAACATTGAGATAGATGATGCATTTTTGTCATGGTCTATGAAAGATGCAATTACAGGAACGAGCAATTGCCCGCGCAAGGGCAGCGACGCGACACGCACGATGATTATATGCGTTAAACGTTACCTTCGTGATCATCAATGTATAAGTAATATACAGATATATATATACACACATATATATACATGCACATACACATACATCCGTTCGGTCTATCATGAAATAAGTCAATGACGTTTGGCATAATTTATTCGAATCTATTTAAAATCAATTCAAACGTAAATTAATAAAATCCAAAAGAAATTGAACTATTAAATAAATCTCGATGAAGGGATTCCAAAGTCAAAGTCGATCAATCTTATAAGTCTTCAACATTAATTACTTAGATGAATGAATAAGGCGCGTGTAGATGGAGGAAGATAGGTGGTGGAAGAGTCCACAATGCGAGAGTTAAAAAAAAAAAAGAAAGAAATTCCATTTTGGAATAGAGATAAAAATCAATCACTGTCAATTTGATAATTGATTATTTTCCTAATCATTATTATTAGGAATCATCTAATCTTTCGGGTCAAGATGTTAACACACCGATACTTCTTACAACATTAATTTATCTAACGAACGTTTGAGAAAAAAAAGAAAAAAGAAAAACAAGAAGAAAAACACAAGTCAGTCAGATTTTCTTCCCCCTTGTTTTTTTCCTTTTTCTCTTTCTCTTTCTTTCACGAAGAGAGAAAACGAGATGAGATAAAAAAGAGAGATAGATAAAAAGTAGAAATATATTATCACACGACTTACCTGTTGTTTGCGTACGTGTATTTTGGATTAAAAATTCCTAGTTACTCTCGTTAGAGTTAGTGCTCTCGTCGTCGCAAGCCCGTTCTACACTGTTCAGAAGCGCTTCGTGTAATGTGTTTTGTGCGAAGAGAGGAGTTGCGCTCTCGCAACGTGAAAAAGAAAGAAAGAGAGAGAGAGAGAGAGAGAGAGAGAGAGAGTGAGAGAGAGAGAGAGAAGCGACCTGGTGGGAACGTGTTCCGCAGCGCCGCTTTTCGCAACACCGGTGCTGCATCGACCCGACATCTTCTCCCTTCGTTTTTCTGCACGAAGTATTGTGCTACCACTTCTTTGATCATTCATTTATTCCTTCAATCTGATTTGACACTCACACAGAGATAAACAGACAGATATTATCATTTTTTTTATATATACTTTCATCGATTTTCCTATATTTTTTTGAAAATTCTTTCAAATCGGATTATTATTATTATTATTATTGATCAGAGAGAAATTATTTGAAATCTTTAGTTGAACCTCGCGCGTTTGAGTAATATTGAAAACATAACGTCTACTTATAATATAACACTTGACGATATTGAAAAGTTTAAGTCTACTTGAATATTATTATTATGTCATAAGATTTATAACAGATTCGAGGTCTGTTTGACAATGTATAATTGAATATTACGATATACAATAATGTTGATGAATTTGAGATTTTTGGTGACAAATATTACGTGACAATGTTCAATTTTTCATATTATACTTGAATGTTACGTGATTATGGTTAATTTTGTAAGGGTCACTTGAATATTATATAACAATGGTGACACATTTAAAGTTTATTTGAATGTCACGCGACAATGTGTTTTATAAAATATTATTTAGATGATAATCTTTTGATAAATGAGATTTTAATCTTTTTTGCGCTATTATTTATTAATAATTATGTCGTTAATATCTGATTGGTATATAACATTCTTACGATCGATATGCAATCCTCCCACTCTCGATTCCCATTGACACATATATGCTATATAAACATCGTCAAAGAGTTTCCTCTCCTACGAGCTTAATCTCAATGAAGCTAACAACTAACAGTAACAGCAGCAGCAGCAACAGCAACAGCAGGTTGGCCTGTTAAAGATGTGATAAAAGTGCTCTTGGTCCGATAACCCAGTCATCGGTAAACGACTATTATTTCTAGCGATTGTAGAGAATTTTCCTCTCTCGAATTATTTCAATGATTTAAGTGTGATTAGAATCGTGACAAGTATTTGGTCGATAAGAAAAAAAAAAAAAAGATGTAAAATAAGTTATTTCGACATCGTAAAGTAATTTCGAAGTTATTAATCATTTCTGATTACCATTATCGTTTAAAAAAATTAAACGAATAAATTACTATATTGTAAGGGGAACAGATCGAAACAACGCCCATTTTTAATTTCCACTATATCTTGCCGTTGAAACTGGGCATGTCTTGCGATATGTTAAGATTTATAGTTATTTTCACAAATCGTATTCTATTCACACAAATTCTATTTTAAATCGAATATAAGAATTTATATATATATATCACATTTTTGTATAGTTAAAGGACTGCTATTTTGATTCTATAGTTATATATTATATAATAATTGATATTTTAGAATTATTATAAATATATATTTTGGTTTGAACACACACACACACAATGTAAATGAATTATGTAAGATTACATTTACTTACCCTGTGTTAACGTACCATGTAGGAGAAGTACAATTTTTTGGACTGTCAAGACAATTTTCTGATGAGTCTGAACATATTTCGTTCATCGACGATTTCGAGGGTGAAGATAGGAAAATTCCACTTTCGGAGGATCGCGAAGATCTATTGTCTTTGTTTTTCGAAGAATGGATTTGCCAAGAATATCTTGCTTTGACAGGACTCGTAGAACAACTCGGACTCGATCCTTGAGAATCAGAACTCGAAGGACTTTTAGGACTTCGTAAAGCGTTTGAACTGAAGACACGAGTTAAGCAAAGTTTTAACGGTGTTTTTTCTTTACTTCGTAAAACGCAACACGAATCGTTTTTCGAATTTTCCGATGACGAGGAAGGATGATTATTACTTTCCATGATTGATTTTAATAAGAAATTTGACTTTTTTTGTTTTTTTTTTTTTCGTTTTCTAAAGAAAAATAGTACAAAGAACAACGTTATCGTATGTCGCGACGACTCGTTCCAACTAAATGAAGTTTTTTTCCAGCTAAAGATTTGGTAACCTCCATATGCGTATAAACCAAGATCGGTTTCCTACCACTTTAACCGCATCCTTCCTCGTTCATGTCTTATCATTGAAAAATTGTTTAACTTGTGTTACTATACAGAATTACATTAGTAAGAAAATGACATAGTTGGAAATTAAAAAGGATATTCATATCAATTATTTGATCTTTCGTAAAACTAACTCTTTGTACTCCAGTTAATTTCATAATATAATCTACCAGCAAGTTCCAATACATTTTTGTGATGCCGTGTTGGTAAAAATTAAAAAATATTATTTTATCAAAATATAAAGATTACCGTGCCTCAGTAAAGTAATAATTAATTGAGCCATTCATTGCCCAATTGATTAACTTAACAAAGCAACAGGTAGCTAAAATATTAATTGTTGTATAATGTATTATTAAACGGCTATAAAATTTTCATTTGGTATCCTAATTACTAAGTAAATATATTTGAAATATACAAAATTAAATATTAATCAAATGTTTTGATAATAAAATTTGAAAAATTCTAGAAATTGCTTATGAACGATTTAATTATACTTCGTATTAAATAAATCGCCGTAACAACGATCATTGGAGTACAAGGAGCTAATTTTAAAACGAAATCGTAAAAGAAGAATAAGAGCATTAGAAATGTATCTTCGAATCTGTATTCTGACTCTTACTACGTTGTACAGAAATGACAAACGTTAGTTGTTGAATGATTCGATTGGTACAATGACAATAAATAATTACGATGTACGATTAACGAGTGGCTCAGCCATCCGTGAGACATGGACCGGAATATCTTCGAAGATGAAGAAACGGGGCTTGTTTTAGCCCAGCCCCTTTCTTTGTCAATGTATCGTACATAATTGTAACACAGTATTATCTACTTATTAACAATAACAATTTGTCACTAGATTTTGAATATCAAGTTAACGCCTTTGAGTGAATGAAGGAGGAGAATCTTCAAAGATGAGTTTGTTTTTTAATGAAATGTGAGAGTAACGCCAGCAAGAATTAAGATGATGATAATAGTACTAAGATTTCTTGCGTGACATTAAACCTGCATGCGAATTCGTGCTTCACCACCTTCGATACACGCACAGCGAGTTTATTTAGACGCTTGTTCGATATAAGCGATTAAATCACCACGTTCTTGTGGTTTCTTCAAACCGGCGAACACCATCTTTGTGCCGGGAATGTATTTCTTCGGATTTTCCAAATATTCGAAAAGAGTATCCTTGTTCCAGGTAATACCTAATAAAAGAATTACAATTCGAATGAAAAAGGTAAATATCGAAAACGAATTTATTTGAAAATGTTAAATATATACCTTTAGCCTTGTTAGCGTCCGTATACGCAAAACCGGCTGCCTGGCCAGTTTTCCTACCGATCAGACCGTGCAAATTAGGTCCTACTTTATGTTTGCCACCAGCTTCTATCGTATGGCATTGTGAACATTTCTGTACGAAGATCTAAAAGCATAATAAACAATATATTCAATCATTTTCTATGAATAAATATAAAAATAATACTGATTTATATCTACACAATATATTTGCGTTAATATCTCACCTTCTTTCCCTTTTCTGGATCACCTGCAGGTACACCCATATTTCTTCTTTAAACTAAAACAATAAATAATTAATAACACAATTAAAATAAATTCAATAAAAAATATTTCGAAATGTTATCTATAAATAAATTAAACGAATAATATTCGACGGTGCATTACGCGTTATGTAGTAATCTATAAATTTATAAACTACTTATGTCTCAACTACTACAGATGCATTACAGTTCGTGATCGTGACGTAGTAGTTACGTAGAAGATTGCTTTTATAATCATGTGCGCCTACGTCATCAAAAGTCGTCTGCTCTAGAAGAATTTTATCACAAGACAGGTATTTTAAACATTGAATCAACGTAACAAGTAATTATCAATTCATCAATTATTAAACGATTATAAACGATTTATTAAACGATTCTTTTTCAAATTTTCCTATCACAAAATAAATCGTATGAGCGCGTGTCAAACAATTAAAAAATGACGACTAATGACGAACAAATGTAATACAAAATTAATTCAACCTTTTTCAAATTTTTCTATCACAAATGAAATCGCGTAAATTTTTAAGAATGAACAACAGGTACCAAAATCGGTGTGCTATTAATTATACGTACAAAAAGAAAAACGTGGCGACCATTATCGTCAAAATGTTTGATAATATTAATCTCGTTTGGGTTTTTTTTTTCATTCATAATTAGATTGATTCATTCATAAGACGATTAATCATGTGAATTACGCTAGCTGATAAAAAAAGTACTTAAGTACGACGTTTTTAAACGTTTCATTTACGTTTATCGTATAATCTAATTTAGATTTCGAAAAGAGACAAAAAAAAGTAAAACAAGGTTGAAAAATGCAATGAATCGATGCTTGCGTTTGCACTTCTTTTTCGCGGTATCGATAATACGCATGCGTACAATCACAGATGGCTTGTTAAGAGAATAGATTTGATGATCGAACAAATACAAAGGGAATAGAATGGAAAAAAAAAAAAAATACAAACGAACGATGAGAGGTCCGATTACAATCAAATCCACTCGGATAATTTGCACAGATTGCTACCCTTTTTAGATAAGAAAAGTAGAAAAATATTATCTATTTGATAGAGTTTTAAATTACTAATTGTAAATCGAATGAGATTACTTATTATCAAGATATAAAAATTTCATTGTAGGAGAAATAAAATTTTTTTTATTATTTTATCGATATATATATGTAAATAATTTTGTAAGAAGTTTGAAACGTCATATTATTTCATAACGAAATGTACAATGTACAAAGTATTTCCAAGAGGATAGTCTTTCGTCAGTAGTACTCTATCTTACATCAGTTATTAATGAAATATAGGAAACACTCCGTAGAATTGAAAAGATGAAACAAAAGAATATAGATGCTAGCCAAAAGAGATCACACACCTATTTACAATTAAAAATGAAGTACAGTAGGGCACTGGCTCAGGGCCAGATTACGTAATACTTGATTCTTCTTCAAATATATATATATATATGTACATATATATGTATATTAAAAGTATATATATATATATATGTATATGTTTGAACAAAGAAGATACGTAACACTTCATTTGTCGAGGAATTCGAAATTAGACATTTTTGATGAGTGACGTCGAATTAGTATTTCGCATTTCTATAACTAAAAAATTGCACGTGGTAGAATACCATAGTACTGACGAAAGTACAAAATTTGCCTTTCGTTAGTATTTCTTAAAGAAAAAATAATTTTTGTAAGTAAATCATTTCGTGAGAAATTACAGACGTAAGTAAGTGTAATGTTAATCGGGGGAATGGAGTTTACTAATAATTAAGTAAAATAACTTACTTTACTTACTTTTTTTGTACGCTCAACCTTTTTCGGTATCTGGCAAGGACGGGAATCAACCGTTCGCTGACCGTGTATAGATGATTCGATCAATGAATATCAAACAGTAATAGACGCCAGCTCGTGTTCCACGGTATTTTAATGGCTGACGCAACAGTGCTTGGAGGACGTTATTACAAAAGAGTGTTCGTAGATGTCACTTCGATCGCAACGAGAACACTCATTGGTGGATCATTAAGCGGAAAATATAAATTGTTCTACAAGAATTTTATAGTATCTATTAATATTTTCTTAATAAATATCAATGTTAATTATTTTTGTATATATTTTTGTAAATATATAATTTATATCTATTTATTATATAACAATATGTTTATAAATAACGCCTCTCGATTGCTATGAGAAATCATTGAGAGCGAGATAAGAATTGTTCTAACATTATATTGAAATTTATATTGGTAATTTTTTAATTATATAATAAATGGTAATTTTTTTATATTTGTTTTAGTAAATATATATATAAAATGATTTATATATTTTTTTTAATCGTTTCCTAAGTTTAACACGAAGACGAATTAAATGCCATCTATTGACGATTTTTGCTTTAACATCAAGTTGAGTATTACTTTTTAAATTATTTTTTATGATCGTGTTTCCTAAGCCTTTATTGTTATTTATGAATTTTTAAAAGATCGCGTAACGTGATTTAGAATATTTGTATTTTTCATGAAATATTTACAAAAATTTATATGATATTTTATTCGCCATTTTGTGTTCTTTGATATTTGATATCAAAGTAATGAAATAACGTAAAGGTAGAAGCCGGTAATTTGTAGGTTAAATCGTGAAAGTATTGTTTAAAAAATCATGAATCTTTTGCCTAAAACTCACGAGGAATTTAGTCAACCGGAATATTGGAATTCGTTTTTCAAAAAACGTGGCAAGAAAAGTTTTGAATGGTAAATTTATATTAATTAAATGTAAAATATTTTCTTGTATTCTATATCATTTATTTCATACATTTTATTTATATCTTAGGTATGGAGAATATTCCGAATTATGTGATATTTTAATTAAGTATATCAAGATGAAAGATGATATACTTGTTGTTGGGTGTGGTAATTCTACTTTGAGTATGTCACTTTACGATGTTGGATATCGGTTTGTATTAAAATTCTTTTTAGAGTAATATAGGTAATTATAATTATTTATAAACATACTACATTTTTTTTTATAGAAATATTACTAATATAGATGTGTCAGAGGTTGTTATTAAACAAATGCAAAATATTAATAAGAACGACAGACCAGATTTAATATATGAACAGATGGATGCTACGCAAATGACTTATTCGAATGAAAAATTCAGCGTTATATTGGATAAAGGTACTCTAGATGCTTTAATGCCCAATGTAAAGCAAGAAACAATATCTGTAATTGATAAATATTTTAAGGTAATTTGTATAAAAGAAGATGATATATCCTAGATAATAGATAAATTAATTTATATGTAGACAATTATAAATGAAAAATAATCTTCCATAGGAAATCACACGTGTCCTACGTAATGGTGGAAGATATATTTGTATTAGTTTACTTCAAGAACATATTATACACAAAATTTTGTCATATTTCACTGCAAATAATTTTATGATACGCGTGGCACAATGTCATGAAGCTGAAGTGAAGACTAAACAGGAAGAAGGCAGTTCTATTCCTGTGTTTGTTGTTGTTGCAACAAAATTTATGAAACTAACAGAATCAGTGAGTGTGAAAAAAGATTATTATGCATACTATGTTAAATTTAGATTAATCAAATTAATTTTATATTGCCAATGGATTTTGTTTATTTTAATAGATACTTGAAATCTCATTAACTGACGGTAAACCTGAAAGAGTATCCTCCGTAGACGCTTTGATATCTGCAGTATTATCAGTTCAACAGTCGGCTTTAATATGCAATTGTCTTGATAAAAGAAGTATAGCCGATGTTGGAGAAATTTGTTTAGATTTACACAGAGTTGGTGACAAGCATCCTCGATATACAGTTTACGTACTTGACCAACCTCGTGCCAGAGGAGCAAAATCATATGCTGCGTTTATAGTACCACAAGGAAAGTAAGGATTCTGTTCTACTAACGTACAAGTAAGAATTGAAGTAATCAAAAAAAATAAGTTTCATAATTTATATAAAGTTAAATGTTACTATTTTAACAGGGAAACAGATTGGTTATTTAGTACTAAAGAAGGAAGACAGCAGGTATTGGAGAGTACACAACGGGATAGACTTGTTATTGTCACTCTTAGACGAGAACATAAATTTGAAAGTTGGGATTCAGTGAAAACCGAACTTGGAGATTGTATACGCAATTTAGCTCCATCAGGTTTAACCGATAAGAGTGATATTCCTTATCTATCTTTAGATACAAATATAGGTGCTCGTACAATTTGTTACGAAGGTGAAAGTAAAATTAGTGGTTCTTTTGTCGTTGAAGAAACAGAAGAAGATGGGCACACATTGAGAAGACTGATCTTTTTAAATAACCCATATGTGATTCAAAGCGAAGCTCGTCTTAAAGAAGGTATGCATTTCTGTTATCCAATAAATAAGTTTTAATCTATTTATTAATAAGAATTATGTTTTCAGTAAAATCCAGACGAGGTAAAAAGAAGAAAGTAATCGATAATGGATTTTTAGCTTGTAAACACCACATATATATGAGCGTAGGTGTTTCTACAATATTAGATTCTACAAATTCCAATGAAATTATGATCATAGGTCTTGGTGGTGGAGGCCTGAGTACATTTCTATATCATTGCTTTACAAATGTATGACATATTATTTAAAAAACAAATATTAATTATATTTTAATCTCGTTGACACAGAATCTTTAAAAAAATGTTTCTTTGTGTTGTAGTTAAAAATCACAGCTGTCGAGATCGACGAAGCTATCCTTAAAGTTGCGGTCGAGTATTTTGGTCTTATTTTGGATAATAGAATGCAAGTACAAATCGCGGATGGTATAGAATTTATAAAAAATGCTGCTTCAGAAGGTAAGAAGTACTCTGCTATTCTTTTCGATGTTGATAGCAAGGACACCACCGTTGGAATGAGCTGCCCGCCTAAACAATTTCTCGAAATCGATTTGTTGAATACGATAGCTTCCTGTTTGACAGACAATGGTCTGTTTATATTGAATTTAGTTAGCAGAGACAGTACTCTTAAACAAAAAGCGAAAGACGACTTAAAATCGATATTTGTATCTGTGGTATCTTATACTCTTCAAGATTACGTCAATGACGTGATCATGTGTTCTATAAATACTAAGGAATCGAAGGAATGGAAAAATAAAATCAAAAAGGCTGTTGTAGATTTGAACGAGCAGGCGATTAAAAGAAAAGTGTTCGTCTCGTCGGATGCTTTTGACGTATCGTCGCTCGTTAAAAATTTGTCGATAGATTCTTAATACATAACTGAAAGCATAATTAAATATGTAAGTAAATTCTCTTATTGTATAACGATATATTAATTTTACAAATGTAAAAAACTGTTGTAAATAAGTTATATAATGATTACTATTATGTATATTATACGTATTTATATTTATATATGTATAAATAGTAGTAATAATAATTGTTATATTAGCATTGGCAAAATCCTTATTTATTGAAATTTATTGAGCACAATTATTCCTTCTTAATTTACATAAGTAAACCTATATTAAAAGTCATTAAAAATTATAAGATCTTAATGTTCTTATACATATACGCGTATACATGTGCGTACATTTGTATATTGGTGGTGTAGATTTATATTGAAATTCATTTGGAATACCCATAACGCGTACTAGCAACATATCAAAGTCTTATTTTTTTGAATTTTCCTTTTTGTTGTTGTATTATTACACTGGTAATACCAATGCCTGATAAAATACTGGGTCTCTCTGATTTTCATGTTGAACTACACCAATACCTCGATCAAGAAGTAAGGTTTCCAAATCTACGATTCTGATTCTATTTGAATATAAATCACTTTCATATCTCGTACGAACGCATTTTTAACAATTTTTATTTTTCTCGTATTTTTTAGTCTTGTTTATATTATTTGAATTTTTGTTGTCGATAGTGAATTATAATGATTTTCAGTGAATTCCTTCTCAACGTTTTAGATTCAGGAACCGTTACTTGTTAATGTCATCCTCTACGGAGCCGTTTTCTACCATTCATTCGTTTTGATGTAGCTATGAAAAATTAGATAATGCAAATTTTCATTGCATATATATATTTATATATATATATATATATATATTTATATAATAAATATTCCGAAGACCCTGATTAATTTTCGAACATTCATAAAGTTCAAATAACAAACACATTCTAAACTTTCCATTGCGTATTAGTTGCACGTGGAAAAGAATGGATGCGCGAGTAGTATGACTCAACGACAGCGAATATAATCTGTACAAGAATGGTCGATCGGTTATGCGAATTGGATTAACTTGATTATCGTTCCAAAATCTAAAAATGAGAAGAACATAAATTCATCCAATTTCTAAATATTTTTATAAGACTTACTGATGAAAAAAGATGCTTTTCTTTTTTACGAATTATATTAATGATAATAATACTAATAATAATAATATTAAGAATAATTATAATAAAAGAGAAAAACAGAAAAATAAATGAATTACGAAGACAATTATCATCTTACTTACAAACGAGATTATTGTTACAACTGTTATATAACTTCTTGAATCTTTTAATATTTTTTATCCGCAGCTGTTTATTTTTCTTTTACATTTTCTTTCCTTCTTTCTCCCTTTTTTTATCTTTTTTCTTTTTTAATTTTTTTTTTTAATAATGAAAGAACATTAAAAAGTTTAATAGAGACGAGAGGCGTTAAAAGTTCGACACGACTCTTCCTAAAAATATAATTATTTGAATTTCTTAAGTACGAATAAAACTGTATCCTTTATTTATTTATTTATTTATTTATTTATTTATTCTTTTTTCCTCATTCCGACCGACAATAATCAATTCTTCGATCGATATCGATGTATTCTTTGTAATTACATCGATATCCTTTGAAAAAACGAGAAAACGCCATAACTGTCGCTTTAAACACGTACTGCTAAATTTAATACTAATTTTAGGTGTACAATATAACACTAAAGTCGTCCGAGCAACACCATATTTTGAGTATTAATTAAATTTATGGCACGTACGAGTAATATACATTCCGCGTGTTACGCTCGTTCATTTCTTCTTTTCTCTATTTCATTTTATTTTATTTTATTTTATATATTCATTCATTTATTTATTTATTTATTTATCCTCATACTCCCCTTAAAGTCACAATCGATTTACTTCTCTCTCTCTCTCTCTTTCTCTTTTTCTTTCTTTTTTTGTCCTTTTCTTTCTCTTTCTTTTTCTGTCTGCGTGACTCTCTCTCTCTCTCTCTCTCTCTCTGTCTCTCTCTCTCTCCCTCTCTTTTTTTTCCTTTTTTCAGTCTTCTTGACAAATCGTGCGAATTGTAACGAAATTGATGAGTACTTTAATGGTTTTTTAACAATTCGTCGTTTTGTGCCATTTCATGATTATAATTCGATATTCGTAAATTGTTATTTGATGGCGTTTAACGAGGGTAGCCTTTATATCACACAATGGCGAATTACTTAGGGAGATGAACAAAAAAAAAAAAAATGAAGAAAAAAGAAGAAGAAGAAGAAGAATAAAACATAGCATTCTTTTTCACATTCGAAAAATCCACGAATGTTTAAACTCGAATAAACGATATCTGATACCGAATCAAATTATCTCGAAGATTTATTTTCTCTCTTGTGTTGGTATAAATAATATAATAAAAAATGAGAAAGATTAATCGATTATTATTATTATTATATATTCGATTTGTCTTTTAAATAAGAAATTATTTTATCAGATCTTCTATTAAAAAAGAAAAAATTTCGTAGTTAACAATTTTTTCAACGATATTACAATTTTCTTTCCTAATTTTTCATCTTAACGATTCCGAATGTAAATCTATTAATGGTTATTGTTATTATTCATTAATGATTATATTTCGAATTGAATTCCGAACTGGAAATGTTTGGCTTTCTTTTCTTCCTCTTCGACTTTTTTTTCTTTTGTCCCTTTTTTTTCCTTCTTTCCGTATTTTTAATCGTACTCGTTGCAAAATTTAATTTCCGAACATTGCAAGAGATTCATAATCTTTTTCTTCTTAATACGTATCGATAAGAAATCTTAGAAATCGGTCATAATTTTCAATGAAACCGATCTCGTTTATTTTCTTTAGACTTTCGACGTTTCGTACGACATATTCGACACACGGACGGCTGGAAAAAGAAGCTTTCCTTTTCAAATCTATAATACATATATACATACACACATATTTATGTATATATTTATATATGTATATATATATATATATTTTTTTTTCTACCTCATATTCAGTTCTATACATAATTTCTATTTTTAACTTTTTCGAACAAATATCAAAATTTTTCTAATAATCAAATTAGATATACATTTATTAAATAAATATAACATCGAATATTAAATAATTCTTTTGATGATGTAAAAATGCCATTAGAATTTTTATAATATTCGATGTTTGATTTTAAAATAAAATCTAATGCAGTTAAATTACATTTGGCTTAATTATTTTACAAATAAAGATGGCGTCCGACGTCCATATTGAGATTACTATTGTCTATTTTTTATCGAACGAACGCGTATCTTCTTTTCTCCCTCTCTCTCCCTCTCTCTCTCTCTCTCTTTATTAATTTCGATAGTTATAAAAACTAAAATAAGTAAAAAAAGTGAAATTATATTAATGTCATTTTCTACGGTTAGCTTTTTCCATTACTTTCATCGTTTGTCGTAGTCGTCGAATGAGTCTTTTTGTCTCTATAATAAGGCGCGTCTAAAACCCTTTTTATAAAATCATTTTTAGAACGCAGCCGAACGTTCAACGCGTACGTAATTCGATGTGTGTCCTTTTTTCGGGTATGTTGAGAAACCGATACCAAGCACGATATCAAGTCATGTTCAGCGTGGTCGCACGAAATCATGTTGTTGGTGCGTTAATGGGAGGAGGCGTATCATTTCGCCATAGTGAGCTTCCTGACTGGCTGATTGTTGTGATCTAAAAACAAACAATAATATATAATTCATAATTAATCACATAAAACGTTCATTGTGTGATATGTGTGGGTGGGTGGGTTGACAAGTTTTAAGTCTCAATAAAAATACCTCTACTTTTATTTTAGTTTTTTTTTTTTAAATAAAAGAACATTTGATTGAACAGAATTGTTTTTATGTTCAGTTGAAAACTTTTCAACTCACTCGCGTATAAAATATCATAATAAAATATATTCCTGTAGAGAATCGGACGGTAATCGTAATACAAAAGGAGAATGATTTTACGTGTTTGAAAAAAATAATATCAAAATTAGAAATAAAATTTTTCTCACATCCATTGTAATTGTGATAATATTATATTTAATATATATATATATATGTAATATATTTAAATATATTTATTACGTATATTTATATTTATTAAAAAATAAATCTGTACATAAATATATATGTCGTAAAATAATTAGACGAATAGGCAATGAAAAAAGAATTCATGTAAATACGAAAACGATTACTCTCTCTCTCTCTTTCGTGTTTCTCTGATTCCAAAAATAATGATGCAATTTTCCTCGCTCGGGAAACCTTATCTTGATCTTTCGATGGTTAAAAATACAATTTACGCCATGTACATATATATATATATACGAGAACCTCATTGGAGTTCGATAAAAGTTGGAAAAGATAAATGTACAGAACAGGATTCTGTTTCCCTGTTTTCTCTATCTTCTTTTTCTTTTTCTCTCTCTCTCTCTCTTTATTTCTCTTTACGAAGACGCTTCAAGATAAAACAGAATTACGACGAAAGTTACGACGTTTAAATAGAATTATGACGAATGTAACCATTACTAACGTCGAATTAATCAACGGAATGGGTGCTCTCGAATGGACCAAGCCTGTGTTCTTTCCCATTTCGTTGCGGAATCTACAGAGTATTTGCAAACGATTGTTCCCCCCGTCCATGACGTAAATCTTATCGTTCAACGAAACGAAAGAATAAAAAGAGCAAAAGAACGAACGAGAGAGAGAGAGAAAGAGAAAGAAAGAGAAATAAAAATAGTATAGAAAGAAATGAGAAAAGGTTTATTACCTTACTGTCGTGTCCGATCAATGGAGTTTCCACCGTCGATTCGTCGCCACCTAGATTCATGTAAGCATGTGGTGGTGGCACATAAATGGATTTCGAATGGCCAGCTACTTGGGTGTAGATAGTTGGTTCTTGTTGCATCGCTTGTCTTCGTATCACAGTTGACATTGGTAATATTTGAGGTCTCTGAAGGGTCGACATCTGTACCGACTGATAACAATTTGGAGGTATTCGTCTGTTGTTCCGAAGTGATAGCTCAGCGTATGTCAATTCCGATCCCTGTCGAATAGAAAACTATCTTATTAATTCATTAGATAATCTATACTTTCATTCACTTAAGTATGTTACTTAAATTACTTATAAATTGTTTCTTATATGAACAAATGTTTAATATAATATTAATTGTTTAGAGGATAATATTTTAAAAGTAATTAATATTTTTTGAATTCACATACACTTTAATAGAATTGAATATTTTTCTTTTTTTTATTAATGATGTGTCAAATTTTATTTATTATAATAAACAACAATTCAAAGGGGTGTCAGCTCGATAGAAAGAAACAAAATAACAACGAATTAATAATTACATATTGTTCTCTTTTTTTGATAGATCGTTAAACTTTTGTTCGAAATATTTAAAGTTATTTAAAGTAGCAAACTTAAGTGAATAATATCGTATACAATTATTGTATGAAAACAAAAAATTCTGATTTAACTCACGTTGTTTGTAAAAGTAGAGGCGTCAGTTCGTTTTGGTTGTATCACGTAACGTGGCGAAGTACCTTTACATATTTCCGCGTAAGAACTTTCTGAATTAAAATATAAAAATTATGATCAAATTTATATATTTCAAATTTCAATTTTATTGTTCTTTATAATATAAGAATAATATGTAAAATTTACCATTGGTATGTGATATTATGTCAGGATCCTTCTCGAAACTTTCGATGCTGTCAGCACTGAGAGGTAAAACGGATGATTTGTCTCGTGGCGATGAGGCTGCTGTGCCACCGGAAGCAGCAAGGTTTGCCATACCACCATCGTCATGGGAATCCTTGTCCTCTTGTGGACGAGGTCGATAACGCAGTCTCACAGCGAGAACAATCACGAATATCACTAAGAGAAGACCAGCTGTAGCACCTACTACTGCACCTAACAATGGACCTGATAACGACAGCATCACTGGAGTCAAAGCTGAAACAGAATATTTGTTCATTTTTTCTTTTTTGTATTTTTCCTTTTCATCTATATTCCTTTGACTTTTCTTCTTTTATCTCTCTCTCTCTCTCTCTCTCTCTCTCTCTTAACGTATCTATCTTTGGATCTTCGATTGAGACAAAACAAAAATTCAGAATAATATTATATTATATTTGAATATTTTATTTTTTATATATTTCATGCAAAAAATAGAAGTAGTTTCGATTATTCATCATATGCATTTAATGTAGGATGGTGAGTGTGAATGATGATTATAATAATGGGATTATTAATTTCTAAACGGGAGATAATAATTAAAAAAGATCGAATGTGAAAGTTTTCTTTCGGGGATTCTCTTTGGATTGAGATACATTCATACAAATCTATATACAAACATACATACAAAATGAACGAACGAACGAACGAATGAACGGAGGTCGTTGTTGTTAATCGCCGTGAGAAAGCATCGTCTATCGTACAAACTACGAATACGAGGCGTTTTGCAAAGTTGGAAAATTTCTCAGGAGATTCTACCAACTAAGTTTCCTCGTGTAGGTAGATAGGTAGGTAGGTATGAGTCCATTCGTTCGTGATTCTGTTTCTCTTTGACATTCGAGGAAACAACAAAAGACATTGGAGTGCATTCGTGCATCAGCTTGAAATATTCCTATGTACGTTCGTTCGTTTATTTCCAAAGCATTTTGTTTGTTTTCGTTATTTAATCTTTTATAATTCCGTATGACTTTTTAAAATAATATATCGCGCGATATGCGATATTTTATAGAAATTATTTTGTTATTTTAATTTTTACTTTTTTTTATCATCATTATGGTATATACATATAATAATAGATATATTCCATAATTGTTTGCTTAAAATCCGATAAGATGTATTTATGACGATTATCAACTTTTGCTATATAAAATATTTATATTTTTAGTATCTTTATAAAAACAAAAAAATTCTTCACATTTATTATTTTAATTTATATTTAAAAGTTAATAATTATTGATTACACGCGTTATATTCACGGAAAATATCTCGATTATGTAAGGATTAAAAGTCAATTTATTTGTGATTTAACCTTTAACTATAAAAGTTTCTCACTTTATCACTCTCTTTGACCGTTCTACCATTTTAATGGTTGGTTACGTGATATACGTATCCTTTACTATGTTCTCTTATAGTCATTTTCGTAACATATTTATAAATCGTCTCGAGATGCGAAGTTAACGAGCTAATTATCGCTATCATTTTCCTATTCTCGTGTCCTGCATTTTCTACGTCCAAGTGCATGTTCGTGCAAGTGAGTTTGTGTGTGTGTGTGTGTCTATGTGTGTATCTCTCTCACTTTTGTGTTAGTATGAACGCGTACAGAGAGAAGACGGACAAATCGTATTTTACTTTTTACGATCGAGCATAATTATGCTCGACGTTGAAACGAACGGCTGTCCGATGCACGTTTGTGCAACTACTACAGTTGTACAATTCACTTTTTTCATTTTCATTTATTTCTTTTTTCTTTTCTCATTCTTTTTTTCAAGTATTCTTCCTTCATTCTTATTCTCTTTGGAATTGACGACCAACGACGTCACCGCGTTCTCAAATAATTATATTCTCAAAACGTTAGCGAGATGAGCTAGAGAAATTTTCGTATTCATTTGGATCGAATTCGCATGAAAATAGGAGTAGAGAAGGGGGAGGGGGGACACAAAAAAAATCAAATAAAAGGATTCCACAAACGAACGATTTTGCCACCAAGCGTTAAAACGTTCGAATTTGCTTGCCCACAGAGACGGACGTATTTCCCGCATAACATGCTGGAATGCGAAATTTCGTTAAAAAGAGAAAAAAAAACAGATATACAGAGAGAGAGAGAGAGAGAGAGAGAGAGAGAGGAGAGAGAGAGAGAGATAGAGTGTGAGAGAATGAGAGAGCGAATGAAACAAGGGACAAATAACGGTTCGTTTCATTCCTACTTCGCACTTCCTGCTCTCCGATTCGATCGTTACATGCAGTTCGTTGAACAAAAAAGATAGTTAAAAATAAATTGGATCAAAACAAAATTGATTAAAAATAGGAGAGAAAAAACGAAAAAAAGAAAAAGAAAAAAATAAAGGAGAAAAAAAAAAGGAAGAAGAGAAAAACGTAAATGATTCAACTAAATTGAAATGAAGAAGTACTTATTCGAACAGAAGGGAACCTTTGAAGGGTTCGTTCAAACGTAGTAAGATCAAACCCGTGCAAACCAATATCAATCTTTCTTCCTCTCTCTCTCTCTCTACCCCCCTTTCTTTCTCACTGTTTCACTCTCACCGTCACTTCGTTCTTTCTCTTTACCATGAAATTCGTGATCCTCTATGGGACATACATGACATCATGCTCATCAGACATTTACAAGGGTAATGAACAAACGTGCATTCGAAGGGGTTGTTCTCCCTCTTGTTGTCTACTCGTTCGCAGAGGGTTCTAAATGAAACGCCCTTGACCGAAAACATATACATACATGTATGTCAGATTATTAACGCGTGTACATGTCGACGGAGTCATCCACGTTTCGATTAGATTGAACGCGTGCACGAGCGTGTTTAAGAGATGAAGACGAATAATAATAATAATAATAATAATAATGATAAGTAGAAGAAGAAGAAGAAGAAGAATAAGAATAATAATAATAAGAAATAACAACAACAAAAAAGAGAAGAAGAGAAATTGGTATCGAAGGGTGGAGGGGTGGTGGTGGAATTGATGGTGGTACATATACATATATATACAATATATATATATATAAATATATGTATAATAAATCGATGAAGTCGATCCTGTTGCTCGAAATGGATGAGAAACCGTAGATTGTAGGACTTGGGATGCCCTACCTGGGTAACGTTGATGCTCCTGTGTTTTACCCTCCTGAACAAAGTTAGGGCTGTGTAGAACGGTAGCATCGCTGGTAGCATGCGCTGTCATAACCCTCAGAGAGAGGACGAGTCCAGCGTGGCTCCTTTCCATTGGTAGATCCGTCACCTCAAGCATTCTAGGAGTCAAGCTGGTCGCTGAACCCAAAAGATGTCTCGTGTCTGCATCGAAGACTTGAAGAACATAGGTAGCTGTGTTCTCGTCGAAGTACTCGCTCTCCGCACAGCTCACCTTCACCGTAGTCCTGCTTTCTTCTTTGATTGTGCAATTCTCCGGGGATGGCGGTCGAGCCAGTCTCTCACCTGCTACCACACCGGTACAACAAACCACACCTCAGGTTCCTTCCTTTCTTTTTTATTTTTATATATATATATATATGTTACCGTCAAAGCCAGAAATCAGTCATTGCTAGTAATTCCTTGGCATTGTTATCAATGCAAAACGCCTTCCGACGAAGTCGGAAATAAGACTTTTTTTCAGAGATTGCAATGCTATAAATTGTACAACTTTGCTAATTTTTTGAAAAGTTTTGGTAAATATTTTTTATACTAAAAGTGAATAGATTTTAATAAAACTTATATTAAATTAAAGTACACTCTTTTGTCTATGCGTAGAATACCATATCGAGTTATAAATTTAGCATGTGAAGTTCTGAAATGTCAGAGAATGCAATGCTGTAAATTGTGCATCTTTGCAATTTCTTTGAAAAGTTTTGACAAATATTTTTTATACTAAAAGTGAATAGATTTTAATAAAGCTCATATTAAATTAAAGTAAATTCTTTTATCTATGCGTAGAATACCATATCGAGTTATAAATTTAGCATGTGAAGTTCTGAAATGTCAGAGAATGCAATGCTGTAAATTGTACAACTTTGCTAATTCTTTGAAAAGTTTTGACAAATATTTTTTATACTAATAGTGAATAGATTTTAATGAAATTTATATTAAATTAAAGTGCACTCTTTTGTCTACGCGTAGAGTACAAATTTGAGTTATAAATCGATTTGCAAAGGTTTATAAAATGTCAAAGAATAAGATGCTGCAAATTTTTCCAACTTTGCCATTTCTTTGAAAAGTTTCGGCAAATATTTTTTATACTCATAGCAAGCGGATCATAATGATTTTTATATTAAATTAAAGTGCACTCTTTTGTCTACGCGTAGAGTACAAATTTGAGTTATAAATCAATCTGCAAGGGTTAAAAAAATGGCAAAGAAAAGTTGGCGGATCAGGCAATGTGAGCAATGCCTGATGGCCAGGCATTGTTAACATTACCGGCCTAGGTTCCAAACCTCCCCCGGCAATGCTAACAATACCTGGCCTTAGGCAATGTGAACAATGCCTAATACGCTAATTTTTCTTTGCCATTTTATGAACTATTGCGAATTGATTTGTAACTCAAATGAGTATTCAACTTGTAGATAAAAGAGTGTACTTTAATTTAATATAAGTTTCATTTAAATCTATTCACTCTAAGTATAAAAAATATTTACCGAAACTTTTCAATCAAATGGCAAAGTTGGAAAAATTTGCAGTATCTCATTCTTTGACATTTTATAAACCTTTGCAAATCGATTTATAACTCGAAAAGGTATTCTGCGCGTAGACAAAAGAGTGCACTTTAATTTAATATAAATTTGATTAAAATCTATTCACTCTAAGTATAAAAAATATTTGTCAAAACTTTTCAAAGAAATTGCAAAGATGCACAATTTACGGCATTGCATTCTCTGACATTTTCTTAACTTTACATGCTAAATTTATAATTCGATATGGTATTCTACGCGTAGACAAAAGAATGTACTTTAATTTAATATAAGTTTCATTAAAATCTATTCACTTCTAGTATAAAAAATATTTACCAAAACTTTTCAAAAAATTAGCAAAGTTGTACAATTTATAGCATTGCAATCTCTGAAAAAAGTCTTAATTCCGACTTCGTCGGAAGGCGTTTTGCATTGATAACAATGCCAAGGAATTACTAGCAATGACTGATTTCTGGCTTTGACGGTAACATATATACTTTTTTCTTCCTCTTTCATTCTTACTAACTTTCAACATACATACACACATACATATACAAACAATTAGTTCCCTTTTCTTCCTATCTTTTTACCCATTACCCCTGTATTTCTTCTTTTCATTTTCATTCTCACCTCGTCCTATACTTTTTCGATGAAATTTGACCAAGTACGACCTCGTTAAATAAACTCCGTCTCTTCGTGTCTCTCTACTATCATTTCCAGACTACTAACACTACTACTTTGACTATTACTACTACTCGTCTTTAACGCGAGCTCCTCTCTTAGATGGAGATCCACGAATTACCGAAATAAGATTAGTCATACTAACTCTTCAAGTCGGTTCGCGCGCTTTTCCCGTGCGTAAACTTGACTTCTAATGACGTTCGTTGTTCTCTAAGAATTATCAAAGAGGACATAGCTCGGAATGGTCCGTAAACTGATTTAAATGCAGACTTGAAGAGCTAATATTTACAATTTACCTCGCTCTTCATCGAGAACGGACTTGGGTGATGGGGGGTGGGGTGGCGGGAAGGGGAAGGGGACCTTTCCTTGGTTAGATCGTCTTCTAAAATATCGTTGAATTTTCATCCCTCGAGTCACGTTTCCATCACATTCGCACCAAAATTTCACACTCTTGTTAGCATTGTTACATCTTTTATTCTCTCTCTCTCTCTCTCTCTCTTTCATTTTTTTTTTTTTTTATTTTTTTTTAAAGCTTACGCATCCCAACCCGAAAGAGAATCCGAAAGTTACGCAATTATCGTTGTCCGTGGATCACCGACCGTGTTATTCAAGTAATACGTTTAAAGGTTTATGCAAACGATCGGCCGTAAGCTTTATCGTCGATATCGTCTCTTTATTCGGAAACGATATCCACGAGTAATCTACACTCGCGAATATTGCTATTTGAAAAGTAAAATTTCTCCCCATCGTAATGTAGTAATGTATTTGAACTACTATTAATAACTATGTGAAAGTGTTATGAGAGAGTACAGTAGATAGTGTGTCGTAATCTTTTTAAAGCATGTACTTTTCGGTCGAATTTTCGAACACCTTTTTTTTTTATTCTAATCTCAATGTTATTCGAGATTATTCATTTTTATGTACATACGTTAGAGAAGAGATTTTCGGTAGATTATGTTTTTTATTCCCTACCCCGATTGCCTCGGTGTGCATCGAAGATTGGGAAAGGATCATAGATTGTAGATAGGATAGATAAAGATAAAAAGAATAAGAATAAGAAAAAGAAGATGGAAATAAACCAAGAAAAAAAAGAAAGAAAAGTATTGAATCATAAGAAGGAAGAAGAAATGTGTGATTAATTATGAGCACTACTATGCAAAGCCGTGCAATACAGCAGTTTATAGTGTACTCGAAATAAACGGAAATTTATATGAATGATGATCGATACACGAGGCACTTTTATTTTAGCGAATCGAAACTCTCATTTTCCAAATTCCTCGACTCACCTGTTCTTCTTTCTGGCAAGTTCAATGTTGTGGCCGAAAAGTGTACGATCTCACTTTTACCCTTCGTGTTGCTAGCATAAATTTGTATTTCGTAGGTAGTACCAGGATCGAGATTAGTTACAGCGAAGGTGGCAGTCTTGCTGGTTTGATTGTAGATCGTATTTATGGATTTGCTACCGCTCGATGATATCTCTCGATCTACTTGGATGTTAAATTTTTGAGGAAGTCCACCGTCGAAACCGTCGATGCAATCAACGTAGAATGAATCTGTCGTTTGATTCAGAAGCGAACAATTGTGTGGCATATCGGGACGTCCTGCAAACATCATTATGAATTTATTTATTTTTACAATAATTAATTATCGAATAACTTTCATCCTAACAGATAAGATTTATTGCGAGTATAGTCATCTAACGAAGTTACGCGATAAGTGGGACTGTCGAAAATCGATTAAGTCGAATTCGGGTAAGTTTGAGTACAAATTAGCATCTCGCAATAATTATCGATACATATACCTATACAACCAACTAACGCTGGAATTTTCCACATTATCGTACAACTCTCACACACAGTTATTTTATACTCTTGCACATTTACATCGTTAAATGTATGATTTGTATTAGATATTCAATCATGAAACGTCCGATTATTCTGTTTACTTTCAATTTGAAAAAATGAACATCTTATGCTGAATTATCTAACAAATCAGTCAAAATTTACGATTAAAGATAAAACGAAGAACCGCGTAATTTCGAGTTTGCGTATGTTGGAGTAACGTAAGTCGAGGGATCATTACTGTATTTCAATTGACGTATCTCTGATATCAAAGATAGAATTGGAACCTGAAATCGATCTTCTTGTACGGTCCTATCCTCGAGAAGAGTTAGAGAAGTAATCGTTGAAAATAGGATGAGAATTTGAAGAGTTGGGGTAAGACGAGTAAAGAAAATAGTCTAAGGTATGAGATTTAGGACGTGGGAAAGAAAATGTTAAGATCGAATAAGAGACTACACTACTCACCAGCTGGAACGATATGATAGACGCAAGGCTCGAGTTGAGTGCCCTGATCGTTGCTGCCCCAACAAAGTAGAGTACCATAGTCCAGTTCGGTCATGGGAGTATAGGAAGCTGTCGAGTGAGTACCGACGCTTGTGACGTGTGCTTGGGCTATGTCGACAGCTTCCATCGTATTATTGAATTTCCAAGTGAACGAGACTTCCGCAGGGTTGGCCTCAAGCTCGCAGGGGATCTTCGTGGTCTCTTGTCGAGCTACACCGAATACCTTTGTCTGTCCACTATGGCAAACTGGAGCGTCTGAAAGAAAATAATGAAATGTGTCAAAGTTTTCATCGTCATATATACGATCTTTCGTCTAATTCTCTAGCAACAAAAATATCTCGTTTATTTCGTGCAATAGAAAAAAATATTCTGTTCTGATATTTTCAAGGTCATCTTTTTCAACATTTCTAAAAGAACAATCTTTATTAATAACTCATTAATTGTTAATTATTTAGCAGGTTTTTTCCATCATACTAAAATTTCAAACCATTTATACCCATGGTATACCGTGGTATATCTCAATGTATTTCACGTAGGACTTTTTTTCCAACACATAAAAAACGTGTTTTGACAAAAATTTAATATAAGCCTTTCTTTCAGAGAGACTCATTCGATTATTTTTTTTAACGATTTCGCCCTTTTGCTACGAGCTTGTTTTCCGCGGTGATACTCCTACTAAATGGGCCGCTGCAACGTGCAACGATAAAACTGTACGTTGTGCGAGAAACCGATAGTCAGTAGTGGCCGGGACGACTTTTGGGTAATCAAATTTTTCCTAATTAAGAAAGCATGCGAGCAATCAATCATACTCGATTCCAAAGCAAAATCGTATCGGTCCACGATATTTCTCTTGGATTTTTTTTTTCTTCCTTTTCCCTTTCGAAACCAAATTCCCTTTTTTACTACAAACAAAAAATCTTCTCTCACGTACGAGAGACAACATTTTACAATTTTTTTCGGTAAAGGTCACGTGAAGGTAAACATATTGCACATCGTTGGTTTCGTTTTCTTATAAGTTAGAAGAATATTATAGTAAAAATATGCAGTCCTATATATTCTATTATATATTCTTATATATATATTTACATTTATTTTGTAATTTTAAATGGCGATCGATTAGATCACGTTTAACGAATGATAGTTAACGAGCTGACACCGAATACAATGAAAACGATAAATGGAATATGTAAGAGGAATAGAGATAGAAATAAAAAGAGAAAGAGATACGGGGGGAGGGGGAGGGAGGGAGAGAGAATAAACGTGTCGCACCAATGAATTTTCAAAATGGAAAACGGATGCGTGAAAAAGCTAGCTCGTTGTTGACGATAAATCGAGGAAAAGTTATGTGTGTTCTCCTCTCGAACAACGCACAATGCATATCTACGTACGCGTGTATGAAAACGCGTAATCCGGAACGAATGATTTAAAGGCTCCCATGAACTCTCCCTCCATCCCCTGCCCAAACTCACCTCTCTTTCTCGCGTTTATGGGGTTCTTACGTTTTGCAATTTCGACTTTATACTAGCTGTTTTAACGTTTCGTTCAATATAGTTACACTCTCTTTCATTTTCTCCGTATATAAAACTTTAACGGATGTTTCATATGGCGTGTATGGTCAGAAACGATCGTAAATTCAGTAATGTATATTCCAAATATTTTCCGAAATTTTCCAAATCGGTAATCGGCCGCATCCCCACTCATATCACTTTTTTAATGACCCTCTTAATAGGGGCCAGTTTCTGAAAACAATTGTTTTGTTCTATTGTTGGATGCTTAGACATCTTTGAAAGGAATAAAGGATTGTATAATTATTGTTACACAGAGACATGTCTTGTTGTAGATTAGCGAGACGAATCAACGAAATTGAAGTATCGTATTTTATTCATTATTATTATTAGACTCAACGAGTAGATAAAGATGAAGAAGTGTATAAACTCGGATCCCGTTGTCCGCCATTTTTAATATTGTATCTTCTTCATTTTGTATCCGTTAATATTGAACCGGAGGTTTTTATGCCGCAAAAATTTTCCCCGACAAGCCATTAAAGATATTTTCTTTTTCTACTTTTTGGCTCTTTTAATAACACTTTTTATTTATTTTTAAATAATTTTAATTTCTTTTTATTTTTTCTTTTAAAATTACGAGAGGACTCCATGTTGGAGGAATCTTCGGATATACATGGCGTTAGGTGAAACGTACTACGTTTGTTACCTATATCCATACATGAAATATTTTCATGCACGCATGCATCTATATATGCGTGCATATATGTATTTATGTACGTTGGTTTTCATACTCGAATGTTAAGAGCTCGGTAAATCGTTACGCGCCATTCTAACTTCACCGCATCGTCGTTATCTGCATGTGTCTGCAAATGTATACAGTTAGATAAGTGTTTATGCACTTTTCTATAACGTTAGGCTGTATATTCGTAAAAGATGAGTATATCTACATGTTTTTCCCAAAACAAAAATGAAAAGATCCCAGGACAGAAACTTTCGTTCGTGCGTCATCGGGATCGTGAAAAAAAAAAGCGAGATCTCGCGTGAAATATTTTCCTTTCTCCTTCTCTCACTCTCTCTCTCTCTCTATCTCTCTTCTATTTTATTTTATTTTCCTTTTTTTTCTTTTAACTGGGTCACCCATCTCGACGTAGAAAAAAAAAAAAAAAACCGATATGAAGAAAAAAGAGATGGGCTTGAATATTCTGTATTTTTATTATTTTCAATTAAAATACCAAATATATTATATAAACTTAATACAATCGTTTATTCAACGTAAAGTAATTTTAATTTTAAAAATTATTTTTAGAAAATATCGTTAATTGTGTAAAGATCTTTTAGTGTGAAACGTTTCGTACTACAATATGTAAGGTCAAAGATGTTATTATCCAATTTCTGATCCTCGTGTAAATTACGATCGTTCGACATCTCTACATATGGTAGATAGGTACTGCACAAATCAATGTGTAATGGTCTTAACGGTCATAAACTCTCTAAACTTGTGCACCTGCGTATACAGAGGGTTACTATGCTCGTGTGGGAATATCAGTCTCTCTCTCTCTCTCTCTCTCTCTCTCTCTCACATATATATGCTTTCCCTCGTGTACATCATCTATATACAGAGAAGAGACAGCAAAAGCTAACCGATAATTCTATACCTTCGAGTCTTCCCTAAGTTTGAACGTTTGATCGAGACGTCAAAAGACAAAGTTTATGTGTACCAAATATAAACGATAAATTAAATATCAAGTTAGTCTAGTTTTCAATCTTATTCGGAACAAACGAAAATTTTCTATTTATTCACGTGTATGCGAGTATATATATCCGTTATGTTAATGATATATTAATTATCTCGAGGTATTATACATTTCAATCTTTTTTTTTTAAATAAAACAAACATTTGCGCGCGCGCGAATATTTCTCATGAGATATGTAAAATAATTGTGTATAGAAGAGAAATAAATAGAAAGAGATAGATAGATAGATAGATAGATAGAAAGAGAGATAAAGGGAGGGTGAGAGAAACAGAGAGGGTGAAGAGGGTGAGAGGGAGAGAGGGAAAGGAATGGCGAGATTTGGAAGGACAGAGGAATGCGAGTACAATTTGTAGGAAGGACGAAATCGCAAGCGGACGATAATATATCGCGTCGGCGACCACGGCAGACGTTGGATTTTAGCTTTATACGTGTCTCTCGTTAAATGTTTCATTACGTGGTAAAAGCACGTGGAACGCTTTCTCCTCTGCTTTTCATGGAAAGCTCGAGCTTTCTCTCTTTCTCTTTCTCATGATTATCTCGTGCACTCTTGCCCTTCTCTCTCTCTCTCTCTCTCTCTCTCTCTTTCTCTTCCTCTCTGTTGGCGTTATAACGCACGTTCCAGAATTTGGTCGTATGTTGTACAACGGTAGCAGTCCAAGTTGAATAGATTCCTCGTGTATACTCTAACACGACTTCTATGTATGTATGTATGTATGTATGTATGTATGTATGTGGAAACGCGGGAAGCGAAAAGACGTTTTTACTTAATTTTACTATCCGCTTTCACACCGACATACTTTCTGCTTGTCCTCTTTTATAGTTTCCTTTTGAAAATACGCGTCGTCTTTTATTGCTTACACTTATGCGCGACAACTTACCGAACGAGGACAAACAATTTCTATTGAAATAATATATGTTTTTATTAAACGTGGGTTAACTTTTTTAATATCCAACAAGTGCTTTATCGTTCAACGATATTTAAAATATTGATCGTATAACAGCATCAATAATAACGACGAAATATCACAAATTGGTTTTTCAAATAAATTTCATGCACATATCTTTAATCAAGTTCGACAGATATATTGGATATATATATTTATTTGTTTGTTTATTTATTTATTTTACGGGATGTATCCGTTAATACAGAATATATAAAAAAGAGGTCAGGTTAAAAATAAAGATAATTAAAGATAATTTAGACAAAGCTTGATAAATGATATATAGATTGATTAAATAAATCTATATGCCGATTATAATAATTTACATTTAGAGAATATTTTATTAATATAGTTAAAAGTAGTCATAAGAAGTGTGATGAATAATAATATCGTGATTAATAGACCAAACCGTTAAATTATATCTTAAATTACTATGGTTAGTGTTTTTATACCACGAACATATTCTAGTATTAAATTTTCGAGATGAAAGTCAGTTTTTTTGAATGCTGTTGCTTTTGACAATTTTAAGTATACCATTATTATATTTATATAGTCATATTGGAGATTTTATTTTCCGTTAAAGTTGTTAATTCACTCTTTAGGGATTTTAGATAATCTTGTTGAACCTTAGTGCGATATTTTAATTTGTTCTTCAAAACAAAGGTTCTCATCAACCTATTCTGGTTGAGCATCGAGTGCAAGATGCACCGAGGGGTTAATTTTTGAAAGAATGTTCTTCACCAAGTTATCATCAAAAATGGCAGAAACAAAAAAGGGCGAGGAAGTATTTTCTTCAAGATTAAATAAAATCATATTTGACGATCTCTTCTCTCTTTCTTTCAACAATTTCACCGATGATTTTCTTCAGCAACAATAAAATTCTTTGAAAATTTATCTTATCCATGCACTTCATTCTCAATAGCAGAAACACGATCAGTAATAACACAAATTTCATTCTGAAGTTTACAAATATCATATTTTAAGTTCCTTAGTAGAGTTGATCTCTTATACCGTTAAATTCCTTTCTTATAATTTTACGAATTTGAATAATCAGTAGGTCATTCTACTAGAAGTAGAAGTATTTTGCGAATCACAGTTAATTAATTTATCCCCACAGCAAGGATTACCTGTACGCAAAATACATGCCGGATGATATGCACAATATCACAGAAAATTGTAAGTTATTGGTTTAGAAACGTTAGTATCACCACATCCATTATACATTTTGACCATTTTATTTCACGAGATAAGAAGTTTAAAGATACTTTATGTATTAAAATAGGGAGTAATCAGGTGAAAAGAAAATAAATAAAAATTACGTTCAACCTCAACGATGCTTTATACTATAATATGTTATTATAATGAATATATCGTAGAGTAATTAGAACAGGGAAGTGTCAATAACGATCTTCTGTATAGATTTACTCACATTTGATGTCTAAATTGAGAGGATTGCTCTCACCATCACCTTCTTGATTACTACCAATGCAGGTATAGATGCCGGCTCTGCTACGTGTCACGCTCTGAAGCACCAGACTCTGATTACTTATTATCGTGCCAGTTGCCGTGTTGTGGTACAGTGGATTGCCCTATGAATACAAAGTCTCGAATTACAAACTTTGCCACCCTTCTACGTGGACGCGATAATTACGTCGCCGAACCGACAACGAAATTGTTCCGCGTTGTTCTCTATCCGTGTGTCTCGCGTTTAATTATACCGCGATGAAGATTCTCCCGCGAATTTCAGTTAAGGAATAATAATAATATTAATAATAATAATAATAATAATAATGATAAGAACACAGTAATAGGAATAATATGCATAAACGTTAACATTCCTTTTTCATGATTCGCGAACAGAAATGTTATATTGTTTCTTTGATTGTAGATAGAGAATAAAATACAACTGGTATCATGTATAATATCTATCTATCTATATATATATATATGTGTGTGTGTTGTACGTATCCATCGATCGTTATTATTACGACTAAATAACTGTTAATTAATATCTGGAAGAAATCCCTTTATTAATCCGTTTTATAAATAATGGTAACCGTTGTAACCTTTAAAATGATCGGTATTATCGAGTTTAACGTTAAAACGTTTCTCTCTTTTCGTACAATTTTATCTCGTATTCATTGGCATTTATTTTTCCAAACGGTTTATTGACACTAACAAATGAAATGTTAACAAACAGGTCTCGTTTATTAAAGCCGCGAGTAAATTGACGTTTATATTTAAAAAAAAAAAAAAGAAAATTTTAGTCAATCCGTCTTTATTCTCTTTTTGTATTTCGAGAAAATTTATTACTTTTTGTAAGTTGGTGGTAATATATATATATGTGGTAGATAGATAGAATAGAATAGATAGAATAGATATACATAGGTATACATATATGTATCTCGAGTTAGGGAAAACTCACGTTATGCCGCCAGGAGACCTTGTAAACCCAAGGATTCGACTTGATGTTGCATTCGAAGTAAACGTCGATTCCTTCTCGGATTGCGCTCGAGTTCAGATTGCTCCCCAATTCTAGGGTAACCACGGGCTCGTCTGAAAGTGCAATTAATATTAAAGTTCGAACCGGGAGGCGTAACAACAAAAGCGTAACGCGTATGCCCAACGGAAAATCGAAATCGGAAATAGAGGATTTCGTACTTATGTACTTTCACGATTTACCGGTTATCGTCTTTGTTTTCCGATTTTCTTCAATTGGTTGTAAATGTACGTAAATATGATGACCATGTTAACACTTTTAATAAGTTATATTGTATAAATAGATATTTTTATATATTATTATACGAGATATTTGTATACAAAAATATTATATTCAATTTTTTATTTACTTATTTTCAGTAATCAGAATTTAATAGCTACTTTTTCCCAATTTGTAAAATTGATTCTTATATTCTGCATATATATTTTCACTATAATGTTTAATAATATATTTTTGTGAAAATGAATATTACATGTAACATTTTTCAAACAAATTTTGTTATGTGTGTGTATCTCAGGATTTCCAATTCATAAGTTAAAAGCATCGTTTTTCAATATTCAAAATTGATCGTAAATATAATATATATATATTTACTCTTATAAAGATTAAATTAACTTTTAATAATGTCTATAAGAAAAAAAAAAAAAGAACATATAACAAATAATTTTTCCATCAAAATTTAATATATTTTAACGCACGCGTACACTTTCTAAATTTAAAAGTTGAAACACAATTTTTCGAATTGATTTGTAAATATTATATCGCTAATACGAAACTCAATTTCTAACTTTTAATAACGCGTATATTTGTCAGAACAAACAACAACAACAACAACAAAAATCAAACCATAAAATATTGGCGAAAGTAAACTCGTTGAAATAATAAAAAGTAAAACAAGTTTCAATGTTGCGCTGTGTATACTGTTGTCATTGTTTTTTCGATGGGTAAAAGCACTCAACCAAGGACGCGACAAAAACTTGCTAGCGTATATCGAAAAATACTCCGAGATTTGGTATTAAAAGGAATTTCAACGTTCGGCCATTTTCGTTGCGTTGGCGAATAAATAAACGATAAATAAATGGATTACCTTTGTTCGCGTGGAAACTATTCGCGACTTAAATCGGGAATATACCGATTCTAAATTCACCACCACCACGGGGACGTATAAAATAATTTGTGAAAATTCATTTTCATTCGCGAGTCTTCATATTTTTACCTAATATTTTATTTATTCATTTATTTTTTTTTTGTTTTGTTTTTTTCTTGTTCTTTTTTGGTTCTATACCATTTCATATAAGAATATACTTTGGTAGGATGCAGTAGAATTGATTGTTCAAATGGTCTTCGATTCGAGCACGTAAATGAACGGATGAACGAACGAACGAACGAACGAATGAACGAACGAACGAACGACGATATTATTAATAGGCATCGTTCCGCATCGTTCTACGAAGATCAATGCTGGTTATTTCGCGAATCCAATATAAAAGTTCCTCGTTGATGGTGGAGTTTACGCCGGAAATCGGTGCGGCATCGCGGAAATTAATGGTATAACCCGATCTACGAGGAAAGATTTACTATTTCTTTCTTTTTTCTCATTCTCTCTTTTTCTCTCCCCCTCTCTCTCTTTCTCTTTCATTAGTTCTTTTATTATCCCTTTATTTCCGTTCTTTCGCATTTGACAATTTTTTGTCTTCTTTTCTCTTTCTCTTTTTCAACCAAGATCGTTTTTTTTTATCTCTCTCTTTCTCTTTCGTTTCTTTTTCTTTAATATTACAATCGAGAATCTTTAAATAAAAGAAAATAGAAACAGAGATTCGTTTACAGGTGCGTCATTTTGCCCTTTGTTATTATTTTTTTCTTCTTACCAACGTTCCTGGGGGTAATGTTGAGTAAAGAAAGAAGGAACACGAAGAGGAAGAAAAAAAAAGAAAGAAAATCTTGTAATGGAATAACGGTAAGGAAAGAAGAAGAAGAGGAAGATAGTGTATTCATTCTATTGTTCGGCTTGTGGAAAATTATACAATTTTCTGAAGCAAAAGATGGAACAAATAATGCAATAAAGCATAACGCGAATATTCTAATTTAATAGGCTCTTAATATATTCGAAATAAGAAATATAACGATTTACTTCAAAAGGTTTTACTAACAATACGATATAATATTATCTTCAATTCTTATAAGAAAAATATGCTTGAAAAATTTCTATGTTCCGATTGATGCAAAATCGTGCATGAAATTGTCCTTCGCGAAGCAACTTACGAGATCTCGATAAGAATCCTACGTCTTAAATTTATACATGGCTACATTTTACATGCCGCACGACTAACACAAAGACCTTTATACATGTTTAAAATATATTGCGATCAGGGACGGCTCGTGCATTGGTTCTACGGAACTGCAGCAACCCTAATTTTGTTCTTGACTTACAAAAAAAAAAAAAAAAAAAAGAAATATTTAATGTTTTATTTATTGTGTTATTTAATCATCTACATACTTTTACTTTATGTAAAAGAAAATATTTAAAATCCATCTTGTAAGATTTAGAAGGAGAATTGGGTTACATTAAAACAGTAGTCGTAATATCTTTGACGCGTTATACAAGGATTGTGTACTAAATTTTATAATTTTATCGATAACAAACGATATTTTACTTATAATTAATTTTTCTTCGGAATTTTGTATATTTCATCGAAACAATATATTCATACTAAGTATGTAAATTTCGAAATATGCATAACACCCCAATGATTTTCAATCCACGAGACGTTACTGGTTGCGATGTATGCATCGATTTCTTAGTTTTATGATACACGTAGGAATATGTGAAGCGCGCGGCATATAAGAATCAGCATCAAAAGTAACTTACATCATCGTAGGGAAAAATCTACGTGTTTCAATATAGAGATATCAGTAATGTGAAAAGAAACCAATACAGATACGGGTTTTCATGAAAGGTAGATATCGATAAATGCATAGCAACATGTTTCAACGTGTATAAGGAATCTTTAAATGTTATAAGTTTTCGTTTTTATTTATTTTTGTCGTAACATTTCTTTTAACATTCATTAGGTTCCTCGAGATTCTTTCAGTGATCTTTATCGAGTGTCACCGAGGTACCGTCTTTCAAATTAACTCATACCGAATCTCTCTTACTTATCGTTTAAGTATTTGCAAGGTGCCGTATCGAAAGGTTTAATTAGCATTTCAACGTAAATATCTTGTTCCTTTTTTATCTCCCTCTCTCTCTCTCTCTCTCTCTCTCTCTCTCTCTCTCTCTCTCTCTCTTTCTTTACCTCTTTCTTAACTTTCTTGTCTCTGTTTTTCTCCTTCGTTTCCAATCTCGAACACGGATCGTACGAGATCTTTATCCCGTAGCTCGTTGAAAGGTAAAGAAAGATCATTCCACTCGTACGTTATTAACGTTATCTTCGAGATTTAATCTGACGCGTAGATTTGAACGAAAACGCGTGTAATAATATCGACAAACGCTTACGATATATGTCGAGTTTCCATCCTGTTTCCATTTCTGAATCCGGGATATCCGGTACGCTGGCCTTGCAGGAAAGATATTTTCCAGCGTCTTCGATGCTCGGCATGAAAGTTAGTATGCTCGTCGTCGTATTGCCGACGGGACTCACCTGTGGAAGGATATATTTCATGGTGAAACCGTTTGTCGAGGGATTTCCTCGCAACTCTCCGATAGAATCTTTGTATAAGAAAGAAAGAAGAAGAAGAAGAAGAGAGAAGAAGATAGCTTTTATATATAATAGAATTTCATTTTATTTCCTGACTAGGTTTCTATTGAAAAAGTATCTCTTTCTTGCACGCGGTTCCCGTCAGATTTTGATCAAGTGAATTTTCTCTTCATGTTGGAAAACTTGTCAACTTTAAAGCTTTATATCGTAGGGTAGATATTACCTAGATAAATAGGATTGATCGATTGAAAGATAAAACGAAAGTCTCTCTCTCTCTCTCTTTCTTTCTTTCTCTCTTTAAAATCGAATAAATCTCAAGAGTAAAAGACAACGAATTGATTGCTTACCGTTAGTCGTGTATTTCTAAGCGTTATGCTCCCCTTGGACCAGGTGATTTTCGGTGTTGGTCTGGCCCCGACAACCTCACATCCTATCTCGTACAAGGTACCAGCACTAAATGCACGGTTTTCTCCTTGAATACGAACCCACAGTGGCTTCACTGAAACACGTGTGTCCCGAGCATGAGGTTACCCCGGAAGAACGTTTCGTTCTACATTATGCAACTCGTATATTTCTACCATTCGAGATATTCTAGCCAAGTAACGCTCGTTAACGTTACCGCTTGCGATACAATTAATTTGCTGACTTGATTCGTTGCATTAATACCTTCCGAAAGGGTTTCCACTACTATTCCCTCTACTTTAGTATCACCTTATATACACGTTGTTAGTTGATAATACGAGGGTAAGTCTACAATTATCTTACAATGCAATGGAATTTATTTTTTTGTTGACCTTGTTAGGGTTGTATTGTTAAGTGTGTTAGTTCATTAGTATTCACACTTGTATACGTTTAAAATACACGCTAGGTTGATTACATTTTATCTATCGTGACATTAACAATAGCTGTTCTCCTTTGCGTTTGCATCAAAGAAGAGTAACCAGCTTGTGGTTTCAAGGTGTAAATATCAAAGACCAAAATCTATCAAAGACCAAAATCTATCAAAGACATTCACGTATTATTTCAATATAAAACTGTACGGTCAGTTGTTAATGTTATAAATAATTATTGATTCGCATATGTAATGTGCATTAAATTATCATAATAAGCAAGTAAAAAGATGATAATATATCGAGACAAGTTATCGAATAAATAAAATAGAATAAAAAAAAAAAAAAACTTACGATTCATGTTGAGAGTAACCGAACTGGAAATCGGTGCTACCATGTTGTTGTTCGATGCTTGACAAGTCAAAATCGTATGTAAGTGTTTACGATTGAGTTTTTCAAGTCTAAGAATATTCCGTACTCTTTTGGTGTCTATGTTCTCATAAGTGTCGTCCAAAAGGGCATTCTCCTGCCACCACGTCACTCGTGGCGGTGGTCGACCTGTAAATTGCAATAAATGACAAAGTTCTTGGATAAAATAGGATTGTAAGGGGACACATCAAAGCGTCAACATTCCTCGTTTAATCCTTGCGGTTTTCCCTATCGTTTCATTGTCCTTTACAATGTTTTACGTCGTTTTAAATCCTGTTTTGTGAATTCGATATCGTATCCACAAAGATTCACGGTCTGTTTATTTTCACGCGATATACGTTTCACGAATCAAATTCCTTCTTTATCATGTGTTCTAATTTTTCGAATCGAAGGAGGATATTTTATATCGTTAAGGAAAAATCACAAAGGCTAAGAAGATACGAGAAAAAAAAAGAAAGCAATGGATTTGTCAAAGAAATAAACGATCAGACGGATAATTCTACTTCTCTTGAGTAGAATTCTAGTTTTCTGGACTATCCTACGAAAGACGATTAAGTTGCAATCTTCTCAACTTAAGTTTTTTTCTCTCTCACTCCCTCCATTCTCTATCGCTTTCTTTCTTTCTTTTCTTTTCTTTTCTTTTCTTTTCTCGAATTCTTATCATCCGGTTGTCGAGAGGCGCGACGAAGAGAAGATAATAATCTCCTTAAGCAGATGATACTGCTAGCTTCTTACTAATCACGAAAATACTGTGTGTGTGTGTGTATATATTATATACGCTTTAAAGAATACATTTGAAACAAATGATACGATCAAATCTTCATGTTTCAAGTTTTCGATTAAACTACGAAAACATTCTTTTCATATTATTTATTTATATTCGCGTTTAATATTTCATTTATTTCATTTTCCCTAACTCTTTATATAACATTATTCTTATCTTAATATTTATACATCTACATATATTTAACATTTCTATTTTTTTCCACGAATCGATCCATGCGAAATATACCTTTGGCTAAATGATTGATGATACCCAGATTACAAAGTTAAACGTCAACGTCGATAACTTAATACGTCATGAATGAAACAAAGATATGAATGATATTATAAAAACGTTTAGGAAAATGTATGGTAATTTTTTAAAATGACGTCTATAACTTAATACGTCATGAATGATATTATACAGCAAAAAAAAAAA